ATCGTGCAATAGTCCTAAACATACAATTCAGTTATCACGGACCAAAATGTTTTTATACCCAAATATTAGTTATATTTATAAATAAATATATAGGTAGGTTCATAACATTATTATTACCAATACCATAATTTTATTTATATTTAGTGTTTAGTCATCACTCTATACACTCACCATATTTCCATTCAGGGCTATATTTGAACATTTTGCGACCCGGGGCAACATATTTTGTAACCTTACCCCACTAAAAAAGAGTTATTTCTTAAAACGTAAGGTAATTGGTAACTTCTATTTTGTGGCATAAATCGAATCTGTTGTTAGTTATTACTGTGTTCACTGTTCACACCTATCGCATACGATGGTTAAAGGTATTATTTAATTATAAATACACCAACTAAAGACTAAAAAGTGTAGAAAGAATAAAAAATAAAGAAAAGTATACTTATGAAGAAAAAAAAGTTATAAAATAAATTCCCCAAACTAATTGTTGATTCAATAATTTTCTAAAAATTTTGTGATATCACAACAAAAACGATTCGTCGAAACTTAAATAAAAATATAATGGATGGTATTAAATTTAAATTCAATGATATAATATCATTGTATAAGAAAAACGATTCTGAGCGGAGACCCAATGAATTCAACGATTTTAAATATGATAAATTTTATCAAAATTCGAACTTTAAATACTTATAAAAAAAAATTGTGGCAATGTATTTTTAATATTTTTCAACTGCTATTGTTACAACATATCAGGAGCCTTGCATTACATTTTCACACTTTTTTGCCCAATAAATAAAATTTTATTTATATTTATAGAAAAAAAGGTGCTCTGCTGTACAGTAGGTTACAAGGGGGTCACTGCAGTATAATGGATGATATTAAATTTGAATTCAATGATATAATATCATTGCATAAGAAAAACGATTCTGAGCGGAGACGGTATGTCAGTCTAGGTATAACTGTATAAGACATATTATATACTTATCTATGGTATTAAAAAAAATTGACCTAAAAAAGGTACCTATAATAAATACCAAATTAATCATATCACAATATCCATTTAGTTCTTATAACGCGTTATACATCAATAACAAACCGTGATACTATCATAGGTATATAGTAGTATACTTTAGAAGTTTCAAATACCAACGAATAATATTAAACAAACACAACAAAATAACTAAAATAGATATTCTAGGTTTTTTTTTATGTACCTAATTTTGTCCAAATTTGAACTTAAAATGCCTATAAAAATAAACTGTGCTAATGTATTTTTTAGATTTTTTGGTAACAGAATTAACTACTTACATATTATTGGAATCTTGTTTTAAATTAATTTTCAATCCTTAGATATAAAATTTGAACATTTTATAAATTTTTAACTACAAAATAATCATTCATTTTAAATTTGATAAATTTTGTCAAAATTCGATCTTTAAATGCTTATAAAAAAAAAATTGTGGGCATGTATTTTTAATATTTTTCAACTGCTAGTGTATCAATATGTCAGGACTTCAGGAGCCTTGCATTGAATTTCCACGCTTTTTTACCCAACAAATAACATTTTATTGATGTTTATAGAAAAAAAAACTAAAAAAATTGACAACTGAAAATGTCCGTAAACAGCTCAAAAAGAGTCAAAATATTTTCAAAATTGTATGGTGTATAGGAAATGCTAATATAAACATTCAGTGAAATTTTCATGTATCTACAGTTATTCGTTTTTGAGGGACAACAAAATAAGGAAATCGCTACACGAGAAATCGAGAGAATATCCAATGCTGTAAAAATTTGAATTTCAAACGCTCATAAAAATTTAATTTGACTTTCTTATAGACATTTATTTTTTTGATAAAGGTAGATAAACTTATAAGGAATCTTGTATTACCTTTTAAAATCTTGGATTTAAAAAGAAACATTTTTACAAATTCTTAACTCAAAATGATTTGCTAATTTTCGTGATTTTTCCATATTTTGTCAATTTTTGAACTTTAAATGCTCATAAAAATAAACTGTGACTAAGGATTTTTAATATTTTTCATCTGCCTTTGAAACAATATACTAGGAGGCAGTAGGAGCCTTCTATTAAATGTTTAAGCTTTTTTAACCAATAGGTAAATAAAATTGTATTGATATTTTTAGATAAAAGACTAAAAAAAAGAAAAATGAAAATGTTCCTTAACAGTTCAAAACAAATCATAATATTTTGAAAATTTAATCGTGTATAGAAAATGCAAATATAAACAGCCAGTGCAAATTTCATGAATATATACGTTTATTTGTTTTAGAGTTACACCAAAAATCAAAATTGATTTGTGGAAAACCGATTTTGGGTAAAAATTCCCGTTTTTCCCGGTTTTCTGAAAACTATTGGGAATTTTAAAATTTGACCTCCTGAACCCAAAAAATAGATTCACTTTCCCATCGAATAAGATACTGTTGAAGAAAATCGAAGCAGTTTTACTGCCCTAAATCGTGATGACAGACATAAAAATAAAAAACACACATCATTGTAAAGTCAATAATACATTCATCGTTCCACTCAAAATCTAAAAGTAAGTATATTTCATTTATTTTTGAATAATTAATAACATACTAGCATATAGAGAAGATCAGTGGCGCCCATGATATATTTTTCAGGTGTAGCAAGAAATAATTTTAACCACTCACCCACCCCCTCACCAACTCAAAATTATATTATTTTATACATTTTATCATATTTTTATTGATAATATTAGTAAATATCAAGGTATCAACCAATACAATCTGTGATTAATAATAAACATATTTCAAGTTAATTATTTTATGTTATTATACCCATTCACCCGTCACCCCATATTTTCAAGTGTAATAGGGTTGGGCGCCACTGGTAGAAGATTGTAGTAATTATTAGATCTGATATTATTAAATGTTATGGTAATTGTTGTAATAGCAAGGAAGCCCCGTCCCCATTTTATATGAATTAAAAAATCTTGGCAGTAGGGTATAGAAAATGAAAATATACCTAAACATTTAATGAAATTATCTACAGTTATTCGTTTTAGAGTATTACTCCAAAAACCAATATCGATTATGCATAAAATTCCCGTTTTTCCTTAATTTTTCTTTTGTTTTTCACGTTTTTGAAAACTACTTGAACATTTTTACTTTTGACCCCCTCAAACTCTAAAGTACCAACTAGATTCACTTTCCTATCAGAAAAGATACTGTTGAAGAAAATCTTAACACTTTTAAAAGGTGATGACTAGGGTTCGGATTTGAAGGCAATATAATCAATAAAAAAAGCATTTAAAATGTAAAAAAAGGCAAAAAAAGGCATTTAATTTATATAATAAGGCAATTCATAAATATACTACAAAATAAAATAGTGAACATTTTTTAAACACTTTTAAATGCACACATTTTGAGAAAAATACAAATTAAAAATGAGCATGAATACTAAACTACATTAAGTTTATGCTATTTTGTATAAATAGATTAGGTACCTTTTTCTTTAACCCGGTTTGTCCTAAGAAATAAGAATTAGTTAAAAACAATTTTAAATATTAACTTACTTGAGTTATACCAGTTAATTTAATGCAAAATAAACAAAAGGTAAAAAAAAGGCAAAAAGGCATTTATAAGTAAAAAGGCAAAAAAAGGCAACAAAAAAAAAGATCCATTCTCTAAGAAATTAAATGAAACACATTTTTGTATAAAAATTATTTTTCTAATATGATTTAAAAGAGACATTTGCCTTCAAATCCGAACCCTAGTGATGACACACATAAACAAAATTTTAAATTTAAAAAAAAAACACATCATTGTAAAATTAATACAATCATCAGAATCTATATAAAATGATAGACGCCCGTAAATACGACGTAAATGGTACGTTGGACCCGACGAGAACTATGGGAACAACTCGAATATTTTTATAAAAAAAATACAACTTGATAAAAATAAAATTCAAGATTTTGAAAAAAGAACACTAAGACAATAGTACAAAACCAATGTAAAGAGTGGCATTTAGAAAGAAAAAAAGGTTTGTTTTAATTATTGTGTTATATAAAAGTATAAAACCATATTTATATTGACTGTTGCATAAATGTGTTTATAAATTAATAAATTAATTTATAAACCTATTTCTTTAAACTTTATATATAGATGAACAGCGTCAACATAAAATAAGATGTAAATTGCATAAATCCACGAGACACAGTAGCCAAGGAATTATTGTTAGTGGCTTTCACCAGCAATGCTGCCACCAGTTATGGAATCCAGCACGATGAAATGGCCAAAGAGCAGTTAGAAAAAGTTATAGGGAAAAATATAAAAAATGCAGGTTACGAAAAAAATTAAATGTTGTGCAATAAAAGATGGACAGCTGCATCTCAATTGTAATCACAACTACTATTACCAAGTACAATCGGGCAATTACATATTTTGTGTAAATTATACCGCTATTTTTGCATTTTTATAGGTTTGATGTTTGAAAAAATAGGCAACTATAGTTTTTGGGAAAACTAAATGAAAAACATTTTATTTAGAAAACATGTCACCTCGACTGCTTTTTGAATAAATATAATATAATGTAATATTATAATTATAATACCTATTCAATCTTATTTTATTATTATTTTTTTTTATTATGGTTGTTTGGAAATGATTTGTGATCAAAAATATGTGATTTTACCAGTAAAAAGGGAAAACTTAAAATCCAAAATATTGACACTCCCCGATAATATTTAATATAATTAAGCTCTCAAGATTATGAATAAGTTGCTGCTACTAATATTAATTCCTTTATAATACATAAATACAAAATTAAACATTCAAACAAAATACATAATCATAATATTTATATTATAATTCAATAGTAAAAAAAAAAAAACATCAGTACATCACTCTTTAACATTAAAAAATAATAAATTAATATTCTTGACATTAGGAAAAAATAAGTAAACTAATAGCTACTAATAACACACAAATATATTGATGAATTTAATGAACATTTAATTTTAATTATCTGTATCATCAGTAGATAATGCACGAGCTCTAACTAAATCCAATCGTCCTGCTTTGATCATATCATTTTCCCACTTGAGAAGTGCATTTTTATAGTTATCATTATCTACAGCAGCTGATTCAATATATTTTATTTTTCTATTTTCATCCAATTCTTTCCATTTATTAGCAACTGTTACCATATACATTTGAACTGGCTCATTTCCATGATTTTTTATTTCTTCAGTTACAAACTTCAAATATGCAGTAAGAGGTTTACGAGGTTTACCTAATTCTTTTAATTCCTGAAATTAATTTATAATATTATAATAAATGAATTATTATTATTTTTTTTTTTTTACTTACTTTTTTTAGTTTGCGTTTTGTTCTTTGTTCTATCTGCTCATATTTGACTCGAAACAGCTCATTTTTTTGGTCGGCAGTCAAGCTTTCATTAAAAGCTTTAATACTGTCTTTGTATTGTTCAAGTTCTTTGTTATAAATGTCAGTCATTTTTTTCTTAGTATTACTATCAAAGTCCTTCCATGACTCACTTAGAAAACGAACAGCATCTAAAGTAAAATAATTAAATAAACCAACGAAAAATCTTATATAAGACAATAGACATACACATTTTTCATAAAATAATTACAGTGAAACTTCCCTTAACAGACACCTCCAAATAGCAGACAAACTAACACATAGATTATATAAAAACTATTTAATTTTAATTTATTTAGAACAACCTAAATTAACCAATGTTTACCTATCTCTATATATTTTTTAATTTAAATGTAATATTTTTATACAAAACGACAAAAAACTTTAATTGAATTCAATGTAGAATATATACAAAGAAAAAACGTCAAAAAAAAAAACAATATTTTGATATACCTATATGTAATAACAAAACGAAGAAAAACAATATTTTTAACCTTCCTTTAGCTGTATAATATTTAAAGTTTTAAGTCTGTATCAAATGGGATGGGAAATTATGTATTTACATCAGACGCAAGTAGTATACGTAGTCGTTTAAATTTTTCGGATGCAAAAAAATCTTCACTATCCCAACCATAAATTTATAGCACGATATGCGATTATGCGATACTGTGTTAATTGTTATGAATAAAATTGCTAATATGAGTCTCAACCACTTTGCTTTGCTTTGGGGGGATGGCTAAGCCGTGAAACTATACTAGGCTTTTGCCTCTACTAGTGGATGGATGTTTAGGAAGGTGGTTTTAAATTTGTTGGTCAACCTATGTCAAAGGGTAGGGTTTCATTCTACACTTTGTGGTTGGTGGGGAGTGAGATTTCCCTAAGAGTCGGATGTGGGCATGAGTAGAGAAAGAGTTTTTGTAGAACATCGATTTGGATTGGCTATGAATAGAATTTTTGATTGACTTGAAATTTGCTGATTTTAGAAGGACCGAATTTTTAACGATAGTGGGCATACCCGTTCTCAACCACTGTTAATTACCATATTTAAAAAAAGCCATCAAGTTTAGTACATAGTGAAAAATAAAAATAAAATAAATTGAAATGTTTACCTTTAAAATTTAAATTATGTTTTTCAATTACTTCTTGTCTTCTTTCTTTAAGATATTGAAAGAATGGAGGACTAGGTTTCTTTGGTTTCAAAGGTAATTGTAACTTATTTACCACTGATTTTTGAGCATATCCAATGTTATGAGATTCCAAAACTGAATTTGCACATCTGAGAAAAAATAAATTTGTATTTTATCATAAATATTAAAGAACATAAATTACAATAAAATGAATTTAAACTTTTGGGTATATTAACCTGTTGATAAACAAATTATTTGAATTGACTAATCGCCATTGATTCGTGAGAAACTGTTTGAAACCCATTTCAATTAAATATATTAGTTTTTAGATGTTATGGTACGGAACACCGAAGCATGAGAGTGCGACAAAAGAAAGAATACAAAATTAAGTGAATTATTGAAATTTGAACTTTTTTTAAATTGTTGTTTTGGCGAGGGCCGAGGAGTTGAATTATTACTTGAGTCTCAACTTGTTAATGAAACCTATTGGCTATTGAACATTGAACATTTGAACATTTGAATGTTTAAAAACACAATAGTCAATCATCATACAATATTGGATACAAACGTATAACCTCAAAATCCATTTATTTTTAAGAATGTCATGTTGGCAACAAATTTGAAGCCGCAAATGATATCTCCGTCTTATCAGTGCTTAACACAGATATAAAATACTAGATAGCTAACTTGTCTAAATTAGGGTAATCGATGTTGAAGTCAGCCACCATATGCGTGTGGGTCAATGTTTACATAACTATCTTATCAATACTGTATGATAACATAATATTATTCGCACAGAATAATTTTTTTTATAAAATATTAAAAAATATATATTTCTATTGCAATTGTTTTTAATGAAAACACATAATATTATCCTTATTCAATTTTTTCATCGTCAGATATTAAAGTATTTTGACCATCAGATTGTTATCATGTCGTATTGATAAGACAATTATGTAAACATTGACCTACACGCATATGGCGGATAACTTCAATGTTCGATGCCTTGTTAGCTATCTAGTATTTTATATCTGTGGCTTAACATGGCAAATTTGACACCCGGCCACGGACTAATAGCGTTTTCCACCGGTCTGCACTTTTGCACCAAGTGTGCACTGGAATAGTTCACTGATAATCGTACTGGTGCAACACAATGCAAGAGCAGATGAAACATAAATTTTTCTTTATCATTTCGGCTTTATCATAATTCTGATTAATGTTAGGTTAGGAAAATAACAAACATAAAAATAAAATATTTGTACCACTGCCTATATTATTTTCTATAGTCAGTTGTCTACTACCAACCTATATAAATATTTATTTTTAATATTTTTGATATTGTGTTTGTGTATGAAATATTTTAATTTATAATTTAAAAATTCTTAAGTCTGTACTATTGTACATCATTGAATTTAAATCATGGCTAGACACAATTTAGTCATAAAAATAGGATCTGAACCTTACTATTTCGTTGTGGATGAATCGGCGTTGGATTATTTTCAGCAAGCTGGTAAGTACCTACATAAATTAATAGTCAATTTATTTTATATCCATTATGAAAAATGTATTGATGTACAGGTGGAACTACATATTTAATTTTAAAGTAAATTTTCATAATTCATTTATATTATATAGGTATTAAAATTATGATAATCATATGTATATAAAAAATAAAAAACAAAAAAACAAAACTGTTTGGTAGATTGTATATTTTAACATTTTTCTATGAACACTCATACAGAAATATGTACTTGTATAAGAATGTTAGCCTTTTTTCTCAAGTTCACTTAATATTTTAATAAAACAACTCTCCCTATTTGTTGTTAACTTTCATTTTTGTCTTGACTTAAAATATTGACTTACTTTTATTGGTTTAGTAACAATTGCTCATAACTGTTTTTTTGTGTAATGCATTTCTTACAAATCAGATCCAAAGGAATGTTTGCCCACATTGTTGAGTTTTTTAAAAAGTTGTAAGGAAGATGGATCCATTGAAATAAATTTGAATGAATTAAGCAGTTCAAAAATTCAAATATCGATTCCGGAAAGGTAATCTAAGTTATTAAATTTTTATCTTTATGTTTAGAAAATAACTATTCATTTTCTGATTATAGTGTGTTCCTTATTTCTTGAAGTATACATACCAATATTCTTTTATTTCATTTTAGAAACATTGATTTGACTGTTCAAAAACCAACGGTTAGGATTGATTGGAATTGCTTAAGCTCTTCAAGTGATCACGAAGAGGATGAAAATCTTGACAAAACTTGCAATAGCAATAGCAAAACTTTATGACAGAAAAAACTAAAAAGTAAACTATGATTCATGTGTATGCACATTATAGTGTGTACATCAACTACCAAAATAAACTCGTTAACACGTCTTATCATTTAATATTATCATAAAATAATCTGGTTGATAAGAAACACCGCCTCAAAAGGCTCGTGCGATTATCATTGCACTCGGTGCAAAAAACTGGCGTAGTGCATTGACGTGAAACATAAAATAGTCCACTCGGTGCACATTAATCTTGCCGGTGGAACATAAAAATGTGCACTGGTGCAGTCAGTGCAGACCGGTGGAAAACGCTATTAGATATACAGGACTGGACACGAGATGAATATTGTGGTTACGAAATGTTTTACAACAGGCGGAGTTCGGGGGGATATTTTCCTTTTAGCATTACTAGCGCCGTCTTAGTGGATACTTATGGAACTAGAAATTTGTATGATGTGTTCTAGTTCCATAAGTATCCACTAAGACGGCGCTAGTAATGCTAAAAGGAAAATATCCCCCCGAACACTACCTGTTGTAAAACATTTCGTAGTCAACCCCCCACACCCTCCAACCTTGTCGTGTCCAGTCCTGTATATCTTAGTCCGTGCACCCGGCATATTATCACGTTTAGCTCCGTTAGTTTAAAAATGTGATAATCATTAATCACATAGATATATAGAGACACCTCTAGTCTTGATGGTGATAACAGGGGAATAAACTATGAGACTACCAGACAATAAATAAAAAAGGTTTACATCACTTATTAAAATATAACAAAAAGCCTATGATAATGCCCTAAATAATAATCTTGGCTTTAAATTGTAGAATGTTTAAATTCATTCTAATTTTTAAACTAACGGTGCTAAAGTGCTAAACGCCTAAAAGTGATCTGCTCAGTGAGAAATTTGCTATGTTACGCTTACGCACTTGTAAGACAGAGACAAAAAATGTGGGTGTAGCTGCTAGTTGCTACTCAGTAGCACTCAGGCGCGGATCCAGAACAGATTTATGGGGGGGGCCATCAAATATTATTAATAAAGTTTATCAGGGTGACAGGGTTTAATATGTTAATATTGTTCGACATCAGGATAATGATGATTAGGTTACCTTTAAAAAGACCAAAAAATAATTAAACAAAAATTTTTTTTTTTAAATATTTATGTTACTCAATCTTACTTTATTGGTTATAAAATATTTAATTACATTACTTTTTCTACATTTAAGCTAAATTTTACTATAGTTAATAATTTACGATAAATTCTAATCAAATGTACAACTTAAAATCAGCTTAATTTTCTTATGACTCATGGTTTTCAAATTGCAAATGGAATTTTTCTTTTGCTTTTGGAGAAACGTTCAATTAATTTTTCAACATCGATGTCTATGTCCCTGTGGATGTTCAATAATGCAAGTCCAGTCAAGCGTGTTTCACACATTGTCGATCTTAACGTTCGTTCTGTATTGTTTTACTAATGTATGTTGCCTTCGAAGAAGAATTTTTCAGATGATTTTCAAGCGTAGAATCTCCGGCTTTGACTCGAAATTTTAAAAGCTCTCTAAAATTACCTTCGTTTATTGAACTTCCTCCATCTTCAATGGTAGACGGTAAATCTAGTTGGCCATCATCTCTATGCCCTCGAAAGGGGATGTTTTGTCTTCCCAAAAATATTATACTTTCTATGATTGGAATAAGTCTTTCTTGATTTTCTTTTATTTCTTGCATTCGTTTCGTATTTAATAAACTGTGTATTTGAAGTTTGGGATTATTGTAATTTTGTAAAAAAAGTTCAGCCATTTGGACAGACTCATTGTGATATCTAGTGATTTCATGTCCATGTAAATCCCCTGTATTTCCTTGTAATTATTTTGCAAACTTTGTCAATGGTTGAGTAACTAATTTTTTTAATTCTACATTACGTTGAAAACCACCTTGTTTTTGTACATTAAACAAAGGACAATATTTGCAATATAAACCTTGTTTTGATGGTGAAAATACTAACCATTTAAAATTATTTAAATGTTGTTGCCCAATAAATCGACATATTATTTTACCATTTGTATTATGCTCAGAGAAAGGAAATACGTAGTTTGTCGGTGGTACCCAATGATTTATTAAAAGTTCACGCTTCGTATAATCGTCAATATTTTTTTCAATATAAATCGTTTTATCGCAGTGCGTTGAACGCTGTCCGCATCCCGTAGAAAAATGATAATGTTATATAATATTCAATATTGTAGCAATAGAATTAATGGTAAATGTAAATATGTAATATCTGCGATTATGACGATAACGTGAACGGTCACGGCATCGTTAGCCTACGCCACGCCGGTCGCCGACGCAATTAAAAATTACAGAAAATTCTATAAATAGAATTGTCCGAAAACCAATATCAATTTTACGAAACATTATAATCTAATATAGAAATATTTAATAAGAATAATTCGATCTATTCTATTATCAATGTTATTATTTTTTTCACCGGCCTCATCTTTTTTTTTTAGATTTGGGGGGGGCCATTGCTCCCATGGCCCCCCCTTTGTATCCGCACCTGGTAGCACTGTAGCGTCCTCTTAATACTTTTCCGCAATTTTTTGTGACTAAAAATATTCAATACCTAGTGAATAGACATAGGTATAAACATAAGTTAAATAACTTATGTATAATTAATTCGGCGTATTTTGATATTGCGTATGGCGCGTCGTGCCTATTGCAGTACCTACCTAGTGCCTAGGTACTATATAAAAAAGTACAATGAATTAATTATTAGTCACCAAACTCGAGTTACAGCATTATTTTGTGAAATCTGTGATTACCTAGGTACTGATTAATAGTATTTCTTTCACTACTCAGCTAGTCAGCTCAGTACTTTCAGCTTTGTTAATTATTATTATGTATTTGTTCTATGGTATTTTAATTATATGAACTCAAAAAAAAAGTTAAGTGGATAGAAAAATTGTAAACAAACTTTGTTAAAAGCACGAATTAAGATACAGCTGTATATCTTAATTCATGGTTAAGAGACAAAA